CAGAATGGAAGCAGGAGATGGAGAAATCCCTGCACGCAAGTGAAGAGGAAGGGAGCTGGGCACCGTACTCGGGCTGGATCCTAGAGAAAGCAATCAACCTAATGAAGCGAACTCTCAGCTCCCTAGGAGAGGAGAATCCTGAGTCCTACGCCCGCCCCAGCTCCTGGAGCCGCAAAGGGAGAGACACTGAAGGGGAAGGGGAACCTGCAGCCCCGGGGACATCTACTGATCCAGTAGTCCCCACCCCCCGCCGAACCGCAGATGGCAATTTGAATGGAAGAGACTACCTCCGAGAACCAAGGCACCGATCCATTCAAAGACGTCCGCCGCTGGAGGTGAAATTCAATGGGGAGCCAACACGCTTGGGGTTTTTCCTAACCCAAGTCCTCAGCTACATGGAGGAATGTGGGCAGGACATCCCAAGCGACAAAGCCCGTATCCGGATTGTGCAATCTGCCCTAGACGTGCCGGCCGCAGATTGGGTGGTGAACTTGCACGACTCCAATGCCCCAGAGCTCAACGACTTCAACCGTTTTATGTCCTCTCTGAGAAGACGATTTGAGGACCTAGACGGGCCAGTCGCAGATTGGGTGGTGAACTTGCACGACTCCAATACCCCAGAGCTCAACGACTTCAACCGTTTTATGTCCTCTCTGAGAAGATGATTTGAGGACCCCCTGGCTGATCGCAAAGCCCACGAAAGGATAAAAACGATGAGGCAAGGCAAACGCCCGGTAGCCGAATATACACAAGAATTCCGGGCCATTGCCAGCAAACTGAATTGGCCGGAAGACATCCTCCTTAGCCATTTCAAAGACGGACTAAATTATGACCTATATGACGCTTGCCTGCCCCGAGGGGACCCACACCAACTTGAGGAATGGTACGTCTTGGCAGAGAAAGCAGAGATCGACATATTGAAGAGGCACCGCCAAGGAAAACAATGGAGCCGCTCACCGCCTGAGTTGACACGCGAACCAGTGAAACCATTGGCCACGGCCAAGAAGCAAACGGGGTGTTTCAAGTGCAAGAAAGAAGGGCATCGAGCTGCAGAATGCCGCTCAAGAGCTACCCAACACAACCCAGACAGATCACCGCCCAGTAACTCCAGAAAGTCTCCAGCTAAGCCAAAGGAACCTACCATGAGAATGATGGAACCTGTGGAATCCCCCACCTCTGCTCATCAAAGGGAAAGAACTCCAGCCTACACCGCAGGGCCGGTGGACGCCTCAGATGACAGCTCAGAGGGTGAACCCCTGGTAAGTGGACGCATCGCACCCATCCTAAAGACAGTGACTATATTCATTCCCCCCATGGCCGAAGCCGTGAGGGTGAGAGCATTAATAGACTCTGGCTGCACCCGCTGCCTCATTAGCCTGACGCTAGTGGGGAATCTGGGCATTCCGTCGAGGAGACTGGAACAACCAATCTCATTTGGCCAGTTAGATGGGTCCATAGCAGGGGGGGTGCCAGCTACCCTAGCCACTTTACAATACACCTCTCCCTGGGCAAAAATGAAGAGGACATAACGTTTGTGGTGACCCCAGGCATGGAATGCCCAATGATCTTAGGGATGGAATGGTTACAAAAATGGAACCCCTGGGTGAATTGGAGGATGGCAGAAATCAAATTCCAGAAGGGGGACCCTATGGACTTAAAATCCCAAGGGGGGCTACCAGAATCAAGAACAGAAAAAGCATCCATGGGAGAGGAAAAGGGACTGCCAGAAATACCAGAGGAATACAGAGACCGTGCTGAAGTTTTCAGTGAGGAGAGGGCGGATGAGCTCCCCCCCGACCGACCCACAGACTGTGCCATTGAATTCAAGCCTGGGGCAAAACTCCCAAAGCCCAGATTATACTCCATGAGCCCAAAGGAGAAGGAGGAAATGGAAAGATTCATAAAGAAAAACCTAGAAAGGGGGTTCATTGAGCCAGCCAAGCCTAAAGTGGCTGCCCCGGTCCTCTTCAGAGAAAAGAAGGACGGCTCTTTACGCTTATGCATGGATTATAGGGCCCTGAATACAATCAGTGAAAGCAATCTATACCCTCTGCCCCTCATGAAAGACATGTTGTCACACCTCTCGAAAGGGAAATTTTTTTCTAAACTAGACCTAAGGGAAGCTTACTATCGCGTGAGAATCAAGGAAGGGGATGAATGGAAGACCGCATTTAACTGCCCCATGGGGTGCTACCAATTCAAAGTCTTGCCATTTGGATTACAAGGGG